GGAACTATGTTCTAGGTTTTAACGAAACATTTGTTTATGTACCTACATTTGAAACTCCAAATCATATTCATTTCTTATCAGTGGTCTTGATCAAACATTCAAAACCCACGATGTTTGTTACCAACACGATCCAGTACACAATTGTTTTCTTGAATGTGATTTCAGTGTGAGTTTTATCGAAAATTCAATGTTAGTTTAGAGTTTATCAAAGCGAACTTGTCACTGACTACACTGGTCAAACAAGTAATTTATGTTACACTTACTCACCTTATGTTTAGGTTGATATGTAACGAAATTCATTAAGTCACCTCAAAAGCCTTTTAAAAGAAGCCCTTCGATACTTCTTTACAAGTATTCGATTGTAATTAACGGGAATGTACATAAGCTGTTGATTATCTCTCTTGATGATTAACGAAGAAATCTTTGCCCAGGATTTTAAATTCCTTCATTTCAAATTGAACTTTTGACATCACTAAATATCCAAAAAAAATTTGTTATTGCTTCTCATCTGTATTCTTTGAAACACTACACACACGAAATCCTTTAGGTTCTGAGTAATACCAACTCAGGTTGATAATTTCAAAAATCTGGCAAATGACTTTACTTTGAAACCCTAAAGTAAAAGAGCCTTACTTTCATACGAAGTGTTCCGACGGTTACTATTCCATTGGGGCAACCAAACCAGCCTGTTTGAGGGGACGTTTTGTATTCTGTCCGGGTTTTGAGGAGACATGACAGTTAGTTTATCACGCATGGTTACAGTACCATCATCATGATGCAATTTTCTCGGTGACACGTCAAGTTTCATTAAATGCAGATCCCACTAATATTTCAAAATCAAGGGTTACATATAAAAGGGGATTCAAGGGTTCATTATCAGTTTACACTTTCAAACTCAATAATTCCCAGATACTCTCTGATAAATATCAAGCTTTCAAACCCTAACAATGGCGACTACTGCTAATCTTGATGCAACTCTTTCTCACACCACTGATAATGTTACTTCTTTGCCGATTATGAAGATTCAAGGTACGGATTATCAAGTGGAGGCAAATGTTTCTCAATACCCTGAAGAAATCAAGATGCTAATCGTTGCTTTGAGGAGTTATGTTCTGTCAAAAGCTATGTTCAACTCGTTTTTTGTTCACTTTCATGGATCTCTCAAGTTGGATCAACTGCTACCTATTCAAAATCTTTGCATGCAGTCACTTTCAATTTGGTGAATGATAAAATGGTTAGACTATCCAAGAAGCTTTTCTGTTAGATTTTGGACATCCTAATTCCCCACCATATGTCAATTTTACCTTTCCACAAATTGTACACATGTTTAATGAAATGGGCCATCAACCTCAACTATCAAAGATAAGTGACTTCAAGAATTATGGTCTTCCTATTGTTTGGAATTTCTTGTTTGGTATTTTCTTGAGGTGCTTGACTGGAAGAACAGTTGGTTTTGAAAAAGGGAGAATGGAGGTTTGTGCCATGGTAGCAGGGCTTTATTATGATCTTCAAGTGGATTACTCTGCTCAATTGTGGAAAGAATTTTTGAAGAGTATCGTAAACATGAATGCTCTTCATGGCATTTCGTGTACGAGATATTGGAGCTTGATCTTGCAGGATTTTTAAAAGAAGGAGGGGATTATGATTCCTATGTGTACAGTTGTACGAAGGATGCAACTGATGATGCTGAGGAGTTTCTTGTTGTAGCTCGTATTCCAGATGCAATGCTCAAACAAGTCGATCCAACGAATAAAGTCTTAGTGGCTTATTTGCAAACAATTGATACAGCTATTGAGACTGAAATTCTATAGGCAAGAGAAGAGACGAAGTCAAAATGTATGAAGAAGACTGATGCTGGTTCTTCTGAGAAACAAATCAAGGAGTCTAAATCTACAAAGGTTCCAAAGAAGTTACCAGTTACTGAAGTAGAGCCAACTTTACACGAAGTTTCAGTTGCTGATACACCCTTAACTCAAAAGGAAATTATTCCTTCGAAGACCGATTTTTTTCGAAGAATCAAAATGAAATCAAAGCACAAGAACCGATCTCCACTCACAAATTTTGTCCAAAAGCCACAGGTTACTCATTAAGGACTTCTATTTCGTGAAATTCCAGCACATGCTTCACCATCATCAAAGAAACGAAGGGCTGCTGATATGGCTAAACACATTTCCAAGAAAAAGAAGAAGAAGAAGAAAAGCAAAATGATCATCTCTTCTGAGTGTACAGCTGATGAAGATGATACATTTACAGAAACTCCAGAAGCCAATCTTAACAAAGAAACTTCTACTCCTGCACAGAAAACTGTTATACCACCCGAAGATTCGGTTGCCAAGTCATTATCTAAGGAGGCCCGAACTTCTGACATTCTTGTAAACGTATCTAATACGGATGCAAATGTCATCATGGGTGAGGATGATTCGAAGAAAGAAAACCAAGGTAAACCTTCGACTGTAACCTCAGAAACCTTTGTTTTCTTTTCCTCCACACATTACACCTGTCATACCCACTACTTCCACTACTAGTTCTCCTACTTTCTAAAACATTATCCAACAACCAATTACTTCTCTTTTTTCTTCTCAATCCACTGATCCACCCACAACCACTTCACAAATTCAAGAGTCTATTTTTATGGAATCTGAGCATGAATCGAAATGTTTTGGAGGAACTTTTGAGAACTTGGAATTTGATGAAGAAGAAGCTGATTTATGCTTATGACAATGAAGCGGTTTAAGATCTTGAATACAAACCTGCATTTAATTCTTCAGTCACAAGAAGATCTTGGGGGAGGTAATTCAGTAACCAGTTTAGAAGTTGAAGGTTTGTTAAAACTGCTAGAAGGAAGGATCACATCAAAAGTTTTGTGCATGATCAAAGACTCTGAGTCTCTTCTTTTAGAGAAAGTTGATATTTGTGATCATAACAATGAGATAAAGGTGAATTCTCAGAAGTCTACATTTGAAGGTGATTTGAAAGAATTGAGAATGGTGACAAAGGAATGTCATGTATTGTTCGTCCAAGATGTTAAAAAGGTGAGAGAGGATGTTAATTTTAAACTTCAAGAGCATCGCCAAGACATGGAGAAAGAGATTGCATGTGTTCACACATAATTTGCATCTTTAAATCAGAAGGTGGACATAATTTGTGATGTTGTTGTTGGATAAGGTGTCTAAGTCCATAACTATTTCTGGTATGTACTTGACCCGACCCGGCATGGTCCATTTGGGTTGCATGGCACATGCAATTGGATAGACTAAATGAGAGAAATAACACTTGGAGATTATTAATATATTATAAGTTCTAATATATTAATAATATTATTTGATTAGTTTGATCAAGAATTAATTTAGAATTAATTATGTGATCAAAAGATAACTAATTAAATATATGGGTTGATTATGTAAATCATCCATATCTTGTATAGTGGGCTAAAAGGCTCCATGGACTATCAAGTTGGGTTCCACCCATAGGATGCTCCATGGATGCTCCATGGGAGTTACAAACCCATGGGTCATGGAAATGAAGAGTCATGACACATTAGGGTTTAACCCTAGATGTGTCAACACTATATAAGTAACATGTTCTCCACCTAAAATCGGCTACACTAAGAAACAAGAGGGCTTGGCCGATTTTGAGAAGTGTGTGTTCTCTCATAAGTTCTTCCAAGAGCATTTGGTGTTGTGTGAAGCATTTGAGGCATCACACTTGGGGTGCTAGGCTCACAAGGTTTCAAGGAACACAAACAACAACAAGGTAAGTTATTCTATCTATACTTTATGTTAAAATTGTTCCCCATGTATGCTAGATAGGAATATAACCTTGGAATTCAACTTTGCATGATAATTAGACAAACATAGATCCAAGGTTATTAGGGTTGCATGTACACTTAGGAAGTGTTAGAATGCTCAAAACCCATCAGTGGTATCAGAGCCTAGGCTTGTTTGCTCTTATTTGTGCTTAAAAGTTGAAAAAAGAATCGGAAATCTTGCTGTCTGCGAATGGACTCGTCGAGTCTATAGGGGGGACTCGTCGAGTTCATGAGTATCTTCAACCAACTCGGCGAGTGAGTTCATGCACTCGGCGAGTAGGGTCGACTGATTGCAGAATTTCGATTTAGTTGCTGGAAATGAATTAGAAACATTACCCTAAACTGTTTTGGTAATTGAAAACTTGTTTTTGGTGGTGTAATGTCTTTGCTAATTCATTTACAACAACTAGTTATCAAAATTACAAAGTTTTAAATGTAATTTTTGATTGTGTTCATATTCATGTTCTTGTTCTTATGATGTTTTAGATGATCATAGGAATTATTTGTAACCTATGTGGTAGATTAATTCTTGATCATAATGTGTTTTAATGGAGTCCATAACTTATCCTTAAGTTATGGAAAACCAAGAGTCACACTTGAATTAAAACCATTAAAAAACACAAGAGTTAGAAAAATGAAGAGTCTTCATTTTATTACTCTATTAAACTCATAAGTTACAAGAAATGAAAAGTTTTGAAAGTTACAAAACTTGCCCTCAAGTTTTGGAACAAGTAAAGTTAAGTTAAAACTTTAAGTTCCAACCCCTAGAATTTTAAAAGTTAAAATTCAACCCTTATACTTATATTATGATGATTAATAATTATATATATATATATATATATATATATATATATATAGTATAAGGTCGTCTTACCGCTAGTACGCCTCATTCACGAAGCCGGTCTATAAGGTGGGTATAAGGTTGTTGCCTATAAAATGGTGACTTAATGGGTGTTTACTCTCACCCACCGCTTGCTTGACTGGTGGAGGGTCGTTAGCCGAACGGGTAAGACAAGGACTTATAAATTCTCATTCAAAGTATGATGAATATAATAAAGTAACTAAATGTTTTATTAAATTCCCAATCTTAGTTACTTTAGGAAAATGTGAATAAGGTGCTAATCCATGAAATTACACTTTACACTTTGTCTAAGTCGTTGGTGGAGCGTGTGTGGTTAACCGGCACACTAACTTGGACTTAACAAGGTAGGTAAAGGGTGACTTAAGGTTTATTATAGTATCGGTGGAGCGTGTGTGGTTTACCGGCACATCGATTGAGTGATAAACTTTAAGGGTACCAAGTGATTTGCATGGTTACTTCACACCTCGTTTTGTGATCCTCGGTATCCCAGTCACAAAACTTGGAGGGCACTCTCGAGATTGAAACATGCCTTTGAAAAGTTCATTGGATCTCAAAGAATCTAGGAATTTCTAAAACCAATAAAAACTAAATATCTAATATTTCGGTTTTCGTGGTGGAAATTGGTGAATCGTCATTCACCTACCTTTCAAATATGGTATAGCTTAGATTACGGCATACCTCTTCTAAGTTATATTATATTGTGATTGGATCCTAGCCTTAATATTACATTTGGGTGTTTTATTAAGGACTCTCTTAAATCTATACTAAACTTGTTCTTCTCTTTCAGATGTCTTCAAATAATGCTTCTGGCTCGAATCCTAATGGCTCCTTTACTCTTATGAGTTTGTGTGGGAAAGTCACCTTTGATGGATCCAACTTCAATAAATGGATCAGAAACATCAGGATGATTACCCGCTACGAGGACAAAGAATATGTCCTTGACAAGGAGCTTAAGGAAATTGATGAGTCCACTGCAACTCCCCAGGAGATCGCTGACTTTCATACTCATGAAAGAGATGCAACCAAGGTGGCTTGCATCATGTTGGCCACAATGACAGCTGAACTCCAAAAGTCTTATGAGGATTTCTACCCTTATGAAATGCACCAAGATTTGATGGAAAGATACCATCAAAGTGCACGACAAGAGAGGTACGAAGTCATCTGCTCCATGATAACAACCATGATGAAGGACGAAGATTCCGTCACGAGCCACATGCAGAAAATGCAAAGGTATGTGGATCGTTTGCTGAAGCTTAATGTGAACTTCCCTGAGGAGCTTGCAATAGATATCATTTTGCACTCCTTACCATCGTGCTATGATCAATTCCGCATGACATATCACATGAACAAGGAAGAGGTCACCCTCAGCAAACTTCAGGGACTTCTCAAGACCGCAGAAACAGGTCTTAAGGGGAAGTCGGTTGCTATCACTCCTACTCCAGACTCAACTCCGGTCTTGGCAATCGGGCAAAGTCGAGGGAGGAAGAGAAAGAGATCTTCGAAGGGTACCAAGGCTCGGACCCTTGATGGCTCTTCTTCAAGTGGAACCAAGAAAGGTTTCATTACTCCTTCTTCTGACCCAAAAGAGGCTGAATGCTTCTATTGCCATGAAAAAGCTCATTGGAAGCGGAACTGCCCAAAGTACCAGCAGGATGTGAAGGATGGGAAAGTCAAACCCAACCATGCAGGTATTTACACTATCATTTCTAATAACTCACCCCATTCGAAATCTTGGGTCCTTGATACCGGTTGCGGTATTCATATTTGTTGTGACTTGCAGGGACTAGGAAGAAGTGAGAATGTGGAGCAAGGAAGAATAAACTTAATCATGGGGAATAGGAAAGTTACACCTGTCACCAAGATTGGAGTTTATACTTTATCGCTAAGTAGTGGGTTAAATTTAGATTTGAATAAATGTTGTTATTCGCCAGAAATGGCAAGAAATATTATTTCCTTTCATGCATTGTACAAACAAGGTTTCACCTTTTCGTTTGATAATGAAGTTGGTTCGATTAATGCTTTCTTTAATAATGTTCTTTATTTTAAAGCATTACCTTGTGATGGTGTGTATGAAGCTGTATCTGTTGTAGATAACTTAGGAAATAATGTTTGTGTATTGATTCTACTAATAATAATAACTTGGATAAAGCATCATTATGGCATTGTCGTCTTGGACATATAAGCAAGAAACGCATAGGCCAACTCCAAAAGGATGGAGTCTTGGAGTCGTTTGACCTAAAGTCAAATGATAGTTGCGAATCATGCTTACTTGGAAAAATGACAAAGTCACCCTTCACAGGCTCGTGTGAAAGGGGTGAAGGTTTGTTGGACCTTATACACACGGATGTGTGTGGGCCATTCAAACATGCCACAAGGGATGCTAATCGTTATTATTTGACTTTTACTGATGATTACAGTAGATATGGATATGTCTACTTAATCAAGCATAAGTCAGAGACTTTCGAGAAGTTTAAGGAATTTAAACAGGAAGTCGAGAATCAATTGGGCAGGAACATTAAGATGCTTCGATCCGATCGGGGTGGTGAGTATCTTAGTTCAGAGTTCCTCGACTATCTAAGGGAATGTGGGATTGTCTCACAATTGACACCTCCCAGGACACCGCAGTTGAATGGTGTGGCTGAGAGGCGTAATCGAACCTTGTTGGACATGGTTCGTTCCATGATGAGTCGAGCTTCGCTACCAATCTCATTCTGGGGGTATGCCTTAGAGACTGCCGCCCATATCCTTAATCTAGTCCCTACAAAGAAAGTTGCCAAAACTCCTCACGAGATGTGGACTGGTAAAGTACCTAAACTAGACCACATCAAGATTTGGGGTTGCGAGGCTTTCGTGAGACGCGAGACTCATGATAAGCTCGAACCCCGAAGCGAGAGGTGTATTTTCATCGGCTACCCACAGCAATCCTTTGGTTACCTCTTCTACAGACCTAGTGACAATGTGGTCTTTGTAGCAAGAAGAGGAGTCTTTCGAGAAAGAGAGTTTATAAGCCAAGGAGACAGTGGGAGGCAAGTTGATCTTGAAGAAATTCAAGAGTCAAGTGGTGAAGGAACTTCAAACTCTAGCCCTCAACTTGAGGAGGAAACTCCTGTTGAGCCAATTGACGAATCTGTACCTCTGAGGCGTTCCACGAGAGTTAGGAGTGCACCTGAGCATTACTATGGATTCCATATTACTGCAGAAGGTGAGACACTTATTAGTGATGGGACACTAGTAAGTCAAGATGACCCTAACAGCTACGAGGAAGCCATGGCAGGCCCCGAGTCTGCTAAATGGAAAGAGGCTATGGATAGCGAGATACAATCCATGTATGACAATCAAGTTTGGAACTTGGTTGAGAATGTACCAGGTCGAAAGACTGTAGGGTGCAAATGGGTCTTCAAGAAGAAGACCGACATGGATGGTAAAGTACACACTTATAA